TACATCAACTTAGAGAAGAGAATCACTATATCAAATGCAGATCTCAAGTAGGGCAAAAAGGAAAAGCATCCTTTCAAATGTAAACCACTGATAGGAAGCAAGAGGACCTTTGTGTTCCTAAAACATCTTATTAGAAATCCAGGGGAAATGGGCTCTCTGGAGCCAAAGGGACAGCTGCTTGGGGACCCAGAGTTGGCTTCAGACCTGATGGAGAAGCCACATCAGGGACTGGAGGGGCTTGCTTGTGAGTTGGCCAGGTCTCTTGCAACAAGAGCTGAGGAATGTGGGGCAGGGAGATGTGCAGTAAGGAAGACAGCCAACTTTGCTTTCCAGCAGAGCCCGGTTCAGGGCTCAGGCTGGAGAAAAACAGTTTTCCTGTGGTGTCAGGTCTCTGCTGATGTCCTTGAACCCGGGTCCTCTGATCTAGCCTGCAGCACCCACCGGGCCCTGCTCTCAGCTACTGCAAGGACAGATGCCTGGCCTGATCCTATGTTCAGATTCACTCTTCTCCTGTACGATGTATCTTCGGATACCATGGTTGTGTCCCCCCAAGTCAACACTTTAACAAGAGAGAGATCCAGGTAATAAAGTCACTGAAAGTCAAGTTATCATTAGTAGGTGCTAGATAATATTCTACCAAAATAACCACTGCCGTGAGTTGATTCTGACTCCTAGCAAGCCTGGGCACAGAAAAGAACGGACTCAAAGGGTTTCCAAGACTGAAACTCTCTACAGAAGCAGTCTGCCATCTCTTTCTCCATGGCTGTAGCAATGGTAGGTTTGGACCTCAGACCTTCCGGTTAGCAGCTGAGTGCTTTAACTGTGGTGCCACCAGAGCTCCTTGGTAATGTTCTGAGAGTGTTCTATTCAATCCTCACGTCCTTCCTAAGTTACAGATGGGAAAATCAAGGGACAGAGAGGAGAGTTAATTTCCTGGAAATCACCCAGCTTGGAACCTAAGGAATTGGGTTCTAATTGTTGCTCTCTAACATAAGAAGAAATAGCTCCTGCTGCTCACAATGCTCTATTTCCTGGGCTATTCACCTCTAAATGTGCTCTATGTTCTCTATACCCTTGGGATTCAACCCTGCAGTTAGGATGTGAGCAGCAGAGAAGAGCAACAAAGTATCTCCTTCTTCTAAGTCATTATACCTCTATTAATGCAGCCCAAGATTTCATTAGCTTTAAGAAGAGCAACACATCTGATTGTTGGCCTATAAGGAATTTAGCATTATCTAAGAACCATATGCATTTTCTCAAAATGCTTTAGTTAAGGGATATCTTCCCCAACTGTGTATGTTGCTAGCATTTTCAAAGTCGTTAAAATACTCACAGAATACTCACAAAAAGCAACAAAAACAAACTCCCTGCCACTGAGTCAAGTCACAGTCATAGTTGACCTTGTCCCTCTCCTCCAGCGCACTGATCAACCCTCATCCCTAAAAGGGAGGGGCCAGGACTTCAGTGGGCAGTGCAGAGAAAGTCAAGGCTTTATGGACAAAGCTCAGGAGAGCCGCTGAAGATGTGTAAGCAAAAGGCAGGAAGCAGCACCTGCGGGGGGCTCTGCCCTGAGCTACTGTGGTGGCCCTCGTGTTGCCATGGCAATGTGAGAGTCCTGAAGCCCAGCTGGGAGCCCCCCTTCTCCTACTAAGGCCCACCAAGCAGGTGAGAATAAGCACCCCTCAGACCTTTCCAGGGCTGCTTGGAAAGAACAAGTATGGCTTGCACAAAAGAATGGGCACGAGTCCGTGGTTCAGTGAGCACCCTGTGTAAGCACCCAGGTCACTGTCCAGGCTGACTGGCCTGGTGGGGTGGAAGTCCACCTGTGACTTTCCACCCTCCATCGGGGGATTCCGCCTTATCCCTCCATGGCTCCCCACCAGCACACAGCCCATCTGCTCAGGGACTTCCTGCAGATGTCTCCTCCATCTTCCCTGGCCTCTCTCAGGTACAGGACTTCCCGGATCTTGAGTCTGGAAAACTCAGTTTCCAGGTAGCTTTCCCCCAGCAACAACGAGCTGGGGTTGGTTCTTGTTGGTTGGCCCACCCCTGCCATGCCCAAATGAGAAGGGCATTGACTTCGAATGTTGTATAAGTCCAGCATGCATAAAAATCAGGTTGTATCTGGTACCATCCACCCTTCCTGAAGCTTCCTTATTATTTTCCTTTTAATTTTGAACCAACATGGACCCGTATTTGGTACCAAGTCTGGCTGCCCGATTGAGGCTGGGACTTCGATGATGGCCGAGGGTCGGCCAAAATGTCCATACAGTGTGTGTCCTCACTTCTACCAGGCATGTCCCCAGTGCCATCTAGTTAGTGGGGGCTTCTCTGACCCTGTTATGTTTGGGACCACCCCATCCCCCAGGGGCCCGAGCTCCTTCTCCTGCTTCCTATTTCTCTATTGTCCGTACTCTCCCCTATGCAGTGGGTAATGCATCAGAGTTTTCTCTCCTTTCCCCTCTTCTGTTCAGTCTTTCTTTTTAAAAAATTCATTTTATTGGGAGATCAGAAAGCTCTTGTCACAATCCATCCATCCATCCATTGTGTCAAGCACATTTGTACCTTTGTTGCCATCATCATTTTCAAAACATTTTTTCTACTTGAGTCCTTGGTATCAGCTCATTTTTTCTGCTCCCCCACTCTCCCTCCCGCATGAACCCTTAATAACTTATAAACTATTATTATTTTTTCATGCCTTGCACTGACTGATATCTCCCTTTACCCACTTTTCTGTTGTCCATCCCCCAGGGAGGGGGTTATATGTAGATCATTGTGGTCGGTCCCCCCATTTCCCTCCACCTTCCCTCTGCCGTCCTGGTATTGCTATTGTCATTATTGGTCCTGAGGGGTTATTTATCTGTCCTGGATTCCCTGCATTTTGAGCTCTTACTGTACCAGTGTACATGTTCTCATCTAACTGGATTTGTAAGGTAGAATTGGGATCATGATAGTTTGGGCGGGTGGGGAACATTAAAGAACTAGAGGAAATTTGTATGTTTCATCAGTGCTATACTTCACCCTGACTGGTTCATCTACTCCTTGCAACCTTTCTGTAAGGGGATGTCCAATTGTCTACAGATGGGCTTTGGGTCTCCACTCCACACTCCCCTTCATTCACGTTGATATGATCTTTTGTTCTGGGTCTTTGATGCCTGATACCCGATCCCATTGATGCCTCATGATCACACAGGCTGGCACACTTCTCCCATGTGGGCTTTGTTGCTTCTCAGCTAGATGGCCACTTGTTTATCTTCAAGCCTTTAAGACCCCAGATGCCATATCTTTTGATAGCCGGGCACCATCAGCTTTCTTCACCTCATTTGCTTATGCACGCATTTTTGTCTTCAGCGATCGTGTAGGGAAGGTGAGCATCACAGAAATGCATCGGATTTTTAACATGAATGCCAGCACTTCAAACACACCAGATGCTCTTTGGGGAAAAGGTGGAGCTTTCTGCTCCCACAGTGATGTACAGCCTCAGACTCTGAATCGGTCCCTTGGCAGTGGGGTTGAGTTCGCATGCCTTACCACCATCTAACAGGCTACATGTTGGATTTGTTCGTTTTGCTTATTATTTGTTTCTCCCATTGGACTGGAGAGCAGGGACTTTTACCTGCTTTGTTTACTGCTCTGTCTCCATGCCTAGATGATGCTGGCTTAAAAATCGAACCCCAAAACCAATACCATCAAGTTGATTCTGATGCCTAGAAACCTTACATAGGGCTGTAAAAGTTTGTGTGATTGGGAATAATGAGGGCAACAAATGTACAGATGTGCTTTACACAATTGATCTATGTATTGTGATGAATTGTATGAGCCCCAATAAATTGATTTAAAAAATAATAATAAAATATAAAAGTAAAAAAAACAGGAAGGAAAAAAAAGTTTGTGTGAGTAGCTACCCTCATCTTTCACCCTCAAAGTGGCTGGTGGATTCAAACCACTTTTCTTGTGGTTAGCAGTGCAACGTTTGCCTGGCAGTACCACTGGGACCCCACCTGGCTCAATGAAAAAAAATGTTCACTCCCATCAAGACCCCCTGTGGGTTTCCCAGCCCATCACTGTTCACAGGAGTAGAAAGCTCAGTCTTTCTCCCAAGGAGCTGCTGCTGGTGGTTTCAAACTACTGACCATGCGGATCACAGCCCAACACAACCACTACTCCACCAGGCCCCCTCATTAAATAAACATATCCCTTTCCCTTGTAGATCCTCAACCGTACTCTCATCCCTAGGGTCAGGTTCTCCCTGGGCCAAGAACGACCTCATCAATGGAACAGCACGCAGCAGATGTGCAATAAATATCTATGAACTAAAGTGTCCTCCCAAATCAGGACACCAAATGCTTCCCGAAAACTCCAGATACAAGCTCACTTTGTGGTTTGCCGCTTTAAGGACATTTTTAAGGAGAGAGAGGGAAAAAGAGAGTGTGTGTGTGAGGGGGGGGGTGCTCACAAAAGTTAATGAGATTTTTTTTTCCCCCGCAGTGGAACGTGCTCATATTTTTAATAATTAAAAGTAATAAAACTTCTAACCGAACCTTAAAGGAACATCCTCCTGTAGCCAAGAGAAAAGTCATGACAGACTTCTCTGCTAAGCAGAATGACTTGTTAGTCCTGGAAGACGGATGGGCTTTAAAAAACTAATTTACAGGAAAAAAATAATGGTTCATAAAAATGCACCTAATTGGGTTAAAATGACATATTAATAGGAACGCCAGATGAGTCCACGGTCCCTAGGAATAAATTAGGTTATTCATCCTCAAGAACTCTGGTGGAAGAAAAGGAGGATGAGAGCAGCGCTCCCCGTGCTGAACAGTTGGGGAAACTGAGGCTGGCGAGAAGAGCAATTAGTCCCAGGCAGGCCGCGGAAATGGACCCTAGCAGGAAGGCACCCAGAAGTCCAGACACCCAGTCCTGACTCTGCCCCGGCACTGTGGGACCCCAGCCCATCCGCCCAAGGTTGCTCAGCAAAGGGCCCCGGCACTGACTCTGCTCACCCACTGGGTCTGAGGTCTGGCAGGGGCCGGTCAAGGGGCAGGCGGTCGCTGAGGTAGGCGTTGTAGCCGTAGTACTGGAACTGCTTCAGAGCCACGCGCCGGCCCTCGGGGCTGAGCTCCTGGCCCCAGTGTGCAAACAGCGAGGCGTCCGTGAAGGGCTCGGTTTCGGCCTCCTCAGGCTTAGCAGGAGCCTCTGTGGAAAGAAGGGAGAAGGAGACCGGGGATCAGAGTGGACCTCTGCATGAGCCATGCGAACCCCTTTCCTTTCCTCACCAACTGCTTTTGGGTAGAAGACTCTTAGCCCCCTCCCCGAGGGTGGGTGCTGAAAATTTCATGCTTCCCAAGAATCCGTCCATCCATGTATCCATCCATCCCACAGCCACAATGCACAATGGGTCTAGAAATATATCCAACAGGGCCTACTCAGAAGCTGACCAATATGACGCTTGAGTTTCCCATGAGATCAATTGAAAATTCCCTCATGTTCCAGCTGGCCACCATGTCAAGGAAATTATCTTCAGGCCAGGGATACTGTCCCCAGGCCCTTGGACATCTTCTGCTCGGTCTTGAGCTTATATCCCCAGGCCTGGACCTGCCGTATATTCAACTCTACTGGCTGGAGATCGACATCTCTGTCCAGCTCCAGCCAGCTCACCCCCACCCTGTCCCCACTTCACTGTGGTGTTCTGATCTAAGTTGCTGGCACCAGGCAGTGACAGGGTGTGGGGCAGGCTAGGAGCACCCCCAGCTCCCAGGCTGCTTCCTGTAACTTACAGGCTCTGCTCAACACAAGAGGGAATCTGAGACACAGTAAGGTGACAGTCACACCATCCCAGCCTGCCTCACACTCGGGCTGCTACTCCCAGGACCCCTGGTAGACTTTGTGAGAGCAACTCCCCTCGGGTCTACCGGGACTCGTTTGGGGGGGATTTTGTGCTAGAAAACAGACACAGATTCAAATTGCTGCCACATATTCACTGGCTACAGGGCCATACGCAAATTTTCAACTTCTCGATATCGCAATTTTCTCACTTCTAACGTGGAAATACTAATAGCCACGTTTGTTCCTGACATTTTGTGGTGTTTAAATAAATAATATGTGTAAAACACTTAAGTCTGCACATACCTCATAAAAAAGGGGGCACAATAAATGAAAACCAGTGTTGTTATAGACTACGGCCTTCAGTATGGATTATAACTCAATGGAAAGATATCAAAATCCTCTCAACTGTACCAGTAGACAACATCATGATAAATGAAGAAAGGATTGAAGTTGCCAAGGATTTCATCTCCCTTGGATCCACACCCATTGCTCATGGAATTATCCGTCAAGAAGCCAAATGAAATGACATATTGCACCAGGCAAATCTGCAGCACAAGATCTCTCTAAAGTCTGAAAGAACACAGATGACCGTATGAAGACTAATGTGCGCCAGACTCAAGCCATGGCATGTCCACTCACCTCACAGACCTGTGAAAGTTGGACCTTGAGTAAGGAAGACAGAAGAAGAACCAATGCCTGTGAACTATGGTGCTATGTGAAGAACGTTTAGAGCACCCCGGACTGGCAGAAGAGCAAACAAATCTGTCTTGAACGAAGTACAGCCAGAATGCTCTCTAGAAGCAAGGATGGTGAGACGTGGTCTCACACACTTTGGACTTGTTATCAGGAGGGACCAATCCCCGGAAAAGGACATCCCGCTTGGTAATGGAGATGGGTAGTGAAAAGGAGGAAGTCAATCAATGACACAGATGGACACAATGGCTGCAGCAATAGGGTCAAACATAGCAACATGGCACAGGATTGGGCAGCATTTTGTTCTGTTGTATGTAAGGCTACTATGTGTTGGACCCAACTCAGCCGCACCTAACAACAATAATAACAACAACAACAACAACATAGCAAGGAAAGTCTGGTAGGCTATTTACATTCCTCCTGATGGGGCTAATAACAGCCCACAGACTGATGGGTCAGGGCTTTGGAAGATAATGTATCTATGGTAGTTGCATAATCTCCTGTCAACTTGAAGATATTAAAGGGAAGGGGTGGAGTCTACCCTGTCAATCAGGTCACAGCCCCATGCCTCCTGATGGGCGTGGCCCTCTCATTAGTGTTCTGGGAACTTCCTCTCTTCACTCTCTCTCTGCTTCACATTCATATTGACAAACCACACAGAACCATGCTGGTGGCAGCCAGAGCCCTGGAGCTGTGGGAACCACATGGAGATCCATGCCAATGCTGAGATGCTTCCACCGCCACTGGATCCACAAGACTTTCCACCTACCAACCTGTGATCTTCCTGCATTCAGCATCATTGCATGTGCTGCGTGAGTCTAAAGAGGAATTTATGGACTCATATTGGACATATGGGGTAATATTAGACTTAGGGACTTGATCTAGACTGGGCTGGGATGTTTTCTCAATATATAATTGCTCTTTGATATAAAGTTCTCTTTTACACACGTATGAGTGTCTCTGGATTTGTTTCTTTAGTGAACCTGGTCTACCATAGCAGGTAAACCATTCAAGGTCAGAACCAGCTAGAGATGCTTTCCGTGCTCATGTTTATAAATAAGGTGTGATTTTTTACAAGTGCATAAATAAGAGATGGAGTCTGGAGCCCGGCAAGAGACAGAGAGAGAAAAAAGGAGAAGCCTGTTAGGAACAAGAGAAGCAGGCTTGGGAGACCTGCTGAGCTGCCTGTGGGGAGCCAACAGGGACATAGCACACCTCTGCCAGGTTAGCTTAGAGATGCAGGCTGGAGATGGATGAGGGTTCCAGGTCTTCAGTGTTGAGGAGCTCAGGACAACAAACCCTGGTTCTCACTACTTCCTCCTCCTGGACGCTATCCCCTCATCTCCTGCTGTAGGTAGGTAGGAGCTCGTACCATCTTCATGCTTTATCTAAGGCCAGTGAGGCACTGAGGGGATAAGAAGCTAACAGTTCTCACCAAAGGAAATGGAGTAGATGATATTTAATCCCCAGAAACCTATCTCCCAACACAGTGGCCCTAACCTATATGGGACAATGGGCTAGGATATATGTGAATTCCCTTCCAAAATCCACAAACACATAGCATGTTTTTTTGGCTACCTCTTTTTCTTAAGGCTAAGGGAGGACACACAAATCTATTAAGCAGATCTGAGTACAAACAAAAGACCAACATGCAAACTCTGCATGCATTGCTAAGACCAGGTCGTGGTGGCCCACCCAAAGCTACCTTGCAGGACCTGAAGGGGCACCAGCCATTCTCCCTCCGTGGGCCTGCTTGCAGGAAAGCCCAAGGCCTGTGTGATCTTGCTGGTGCTTGTTATCTCTAAAAAGATGTGTGGCACTGGTGAAGCTTGGCCGTTGCTGTGAAGGCCTGAGCCTGTCTCTAATGAGGGCCACATTTCCAGAGGTGTCCTGTAGCCTTTCATCTGCTCCTCTGTGATGTCACTGGGAACTGTCTGGTCCATGCTTTGAGGCCCTCATTAGTTCTGTGCGGCCTGTGACCGTCACACAGGCAAAAGCAGATGGCCCCAATTTGTTTATAGCAGCCCAGACTGCTTTTCCTGACTCCCAGGAACAGGAAAAAGATATGCTCCTAATTGTCATGGTCACAGGGACAGGACTGGGGAGCGTAGTGATCTGCTGGCCCTGCTGTGGAAGGCACAGCTGTGCCAACCATTCCCTCCCTCCCAAGCCCTGGGAGTAGCGGGGTGTCCATCTGTCTACATGACCATCTACCCCGCAGCTGGCCCTTCAAAATGGGGGAGGATATGCTAGCAATGCACTGATGAACTGCCTGCTTCATGTGACGTTGTAAGCTTCCCAAAGATAGGGAGCTGTGGACTCGTCTCTATTCCTTGAGCCCATTACTCACACCGCAGCATCGGCCACACCAACCACATCGGCCCTACCAATAACCGTTGCTCACTGCCCTAAGTGTCCTTGAAGGGTAAGGGCAAGCCCGAATACCCACATTTTGAAGAAGGGCCCACTCCTAAGAATCCTGCCTAGGGGTGACTCAGGAAAGCGGGGGCCGTGGGAAGAGTCCAGGAGTGCCCCAGTGCCTTGGCATCCTCCCAGCACTTGGGGCCTTTTATTAATCTCCATCTCAGAGTGGCTTCCTCCGAGTCCCCAGGAAGCTTGCAGTATAGGCAAGAGACTCGGCATCTTAAAGTAAGACTTGATTGTGTATGAGAGCTATAGGGAAAGAAGGAAAAGGAAGGAAGGACCCAGCCAGTTGGGGGGCGGGAGACCACTACAGCTAGGACATTTTTGCATACCAAGTACACCCAAGACCCTTTACAGATCTGCCTGGGGTGTGAGGGGTCTTTGACACTATGGAGGGAGAATGAGACTTCATAGTGCTCAACAGGTGAGATGAAAACAGATCGCCATCACCAGTTATGAAACCTCCAAGAGGGCCATGAGGAGGCCTCGTGGCATCTGAAGGAGTTGCTGCTGGTGTCCAGTAGAAAAATGTATGACATCTAAAAGGGATGATAGCATTTGTTCAGGGAACAAAACACAAAGGGCCCTGTGGTAATTATGTAATCTGTTGTCAATTTGACAGGATTAAGGGTGAAAGGGTGGAGTTTAGCCTGTCAATCAGGTCACAGCTTGATGACCTCATTTAGAGGCGCTAAGGAGATAAATAGCTCCCTGGAGGCAGGGCACAGGCTCACTCCCTTGGAGGCATTGCAGCTGACAAGACACATGCAGCTATACTAGAGCCCTGGAGCTGAAGGAGCCGTGTAGAGACCCCTGCCAGCGCTGAGATGCTTCCATTGCTACTGGATCTATAAGACTTTCCACCCACTGGCCTGTGATCATCCTGTGTTCAGTGTCATTGCGTGTGTTTCATGTTGCGTGAGCCTGAAGAGGAATTGATAGATTGGTATTGGACATATGGCTTAATACCGGGCTTATGGACTTGATCTGGACTGGGCTGGGATGTTTTCTCAATATTCAATTGCTCTTGTATATAAAGTACTTTCTTATACACATGAGTGTCTGTGAATTTGTTTCTCTAGTCAACCCAGACTAACACAGGCCCCTTTGTTATTTGAGATCAGAACTGGTTAGCACTGACACAACGTTCTTTGGTCAGGGAAGAGTGGATTTTTCTTTCCTTCTGACTTGTTAAGAATTACCCTTCCCAGACCTCCTACTCTGGGATCTCTGGGGCTGGAATGGCTCCGGTG